CAGGAGGCAGAGACAGGTGGATCTCTGAGAGGCCAGCCTGGTCTACAAAGCTACACAGAGAAACCTGTCTTGAAAGAATCAAATATATATATATTTTGATTCATACACACACACACACACACACACACACACACACAAACACATGGTAGACTAGAAAGCAAAGAGTAAACCAGAGAAAAATGATTTTTGTTCTTATTTCCTTGCCACTACCAGGGATTGAACCTAGAAACCTCACACATTGCTCAAGCACTATAATCACTGAGCTATATCCTCCTTCAGTAAGAACATGAACTATTGAGTCATTTTTTGCTCACATACCAAGATATACTTACTTAACATCTATTATGTGCTGTGACTTGGTGCCTATTTGAACTTCTTTACAATACTGGTAAATACTACCAATATTATCTTACAGAAAAACCCAAAGATGACAAAGTCAAGTAATTTGTCTAAAAGTGACATGGTATTTGACAAAAGGAAAAACCCTGAGGTGCTCAGATGTTGCTTCTAGAACCTATAAAAACATGGGTACTCCACTTACAATACTCCATAACTTCATTTGTAAGTTTGGTGAATAATTCTAAGTTTTAAATGACAAGCTATCACAAGTATTATTCCTCCCTCTTTACATGGTTCGAATGGGATTGGCATCAATCATATAAAAGGTAATTTTCTTTTGACCTTCCAAGTACACCGAAGGTCTTTTTATCCAGATCTATTTTTTTTTTCTCTTTTTTATTTGGTTTTTCGAGACAGTGCTTCTCTTTAGGTTTGGAGACTGTTCTGAACTCTCTTTGAAGACCTGGCTGGCCTCAAACTCACAGAGATCTGCCTGCCTCTGCCTCCCGAGTGCTGGGATTAAAGGCATGCACCACCACTGCCCTGCAACTTTTATCCAGATCTATTTTCTATGTTGAAGTTAGAGTTGATGGGGACGGAGTTAGGGAAATACTATGTACTAACAGAGCAGAGACTCAAGGCAGATACAGTAAATGTCTGACTAGTCAGTAAGACAGGTGTTGGGAAAACTATGCAGCCTAACAGTCACAAGTCTTGACAATGAACACAAAGCTTGGGGCAGAAACTAATTTCTCTAGTCTATAAAAGCTAACCATAAAAGTTACATTGCTTTTGGAGCTTCAAATCCATTAACAGAAAATGAACCTTAGGTAATCTGTCTGGTTGCTACTAAGCAATAAAACCATATTCACTGAGATCTGAGATCCAGAGTATTTGATAATTTGGATCAAAAGCCTCTCTTCCCAGGCTTCCTAGAAAGGACTTTGCCTCTGATGCTCCCCATGGTGTTTTCTAGTGTTGTGTGAGAACTGACACTCCTCAAGAGAATTCCTCTCCAGGAGAAACAAACCTTTCTTCTATTATTCCTTTGTTTTTTTAAGACACATTTAAATTACATTATTAAAAAAACCTTCATTTACTTAGACATCTGGGAAGCACATGAAAGCTATGTGTCAAAACTTCAGGCTACAGGAACCTGACAAGACAGAACATTTACTTTGCTCTAAGTTACTATCCTGACAGTATTAGTAAAAATCAGAAAGTAAACATATTATCCAGGGAGTCTTAATGCTTGATCCTGAAAGTTCCATCATTTGTTCACACTTTGCAAATTTTGAGAAAGGCCGGGCATTGGTGTCGCACACTTTGAATCCCAGCACTTGGGAGGCAGAGGCAGGTGGATCTCTGTGAGTTCGAGGCCAGCCTGGTCTCCAGAGCGAGTGCCAGGATAGGGTCCAAAGCCAAACAGAGAAACCCAGTCTCGAAAAACAAACAAACAACAAAAAAAACAAACAAACAAAACCCAAATTTTGTGAAAGATCATGTTCGGCTGAACAAACAGAAAAAGTGAAGCTGCCACAAAAATATTTTGTGTGTACTGAAACTGAGCAACTTCACACACCTTAAGCCACTCCTACCCCATCTCACAACCTACTCACACAAATTGGTGGTAGGTACTCGGTACTGTTTATTTAAAGAATTTTGGTTTGCTAAGTAAAAAACATTTGTACATAAGAGACTCCCAAGGGTCATCTAACACTGAGACCCTCAAATTTCCATTCCATTAAAAACTATCTAGACTAGTTCAGAGTAAAAACACATCAATAAAATCTATACATTCTTTATAAATTAAAAACAGGTCTGTCAAAAAGGTACTAAGTCAGGCCAGGTATTGTGGTTAGTGCCTGTAATCGAGCCATTCAGAGGTTGAGGCCAGAGGACTTTGAGTTAAGGCTGGCCTGAATTACATATGCAATGAGTTCAAAATCAGCCTGGGATACAGATTGAGACACTGCGCCTTGAGAACCCATAAACCATGTCAAGAATTTTATTAGCAGCACTTAAACAAGGCATACCTAGCTGGTAAGAGACAAATAAATACTTATCAGATAAGTAAGTATATGTAACACACCATGGCTTTGCTATACACATGACTTGAATATCTGGCAATACTTTATTAAAAATGATGGTCTCCAAAAGGCTATGGAGACCAACTCCATCCTTTCTGCTAAATGTCACACCTGGCTCTAGTTCTGTGTGTACATCTATGAGAAAGTCAATTCCATGTTATAAAGCACCATAGGTATTTCATTCTACATAATGCAACAGGTCTGAACATTTTATAACAGAGTTCCTGGGAAGGCACTTCAGTTATTAAAAGGAGGCACATTTCTAAACTGCAGGGTCCTTAATACTGTCTTCACCACTTAAAATCTCCACATTCCACAATGACATACTGTTCACAAACAAAGAATGGCAAGGGACACTGTCCCTACCCCAACAAATGAATTACTCAAGTAGGTGAGATGAGAAATACATGGAGCAAGAGCAAAGACAATGTAACTGCAGTGATGATTTTAAGAAAAAAAAAATCAGTGAATTCAAATTTCCAGATCAAACAACTTTAAAGTATTTTTGATAACAAACAAAACACACTCTTATATGCTCTGCTGCTTTCTAAGGGTCATCAATAAGATTTGAGTATTATTTTGTTTAAACAATACAGATGACAGAGAGCATTTGCCAGGTTATATCCTCGAACCTTGTATGATTTCAATTTTATAGATCTGGAAGTTATAGGAAAATATTCTCCAAGTTTAGAAGTTGTACCTTGGAGAGTAGACAATAAAATTCCGAATTCAGGGGCCGAGGAGCTGGCTCATCATCTACAAGCATTGGCTGCTCTTGCCAAGGATCCGGATTCTGTTCCTAGCACCTATGTAGTTGCTCATAGTCATTTGCAACTCCAGTTGCAGGGGATCTGATATCCTCTATCCATGGGCACCAGGCACATGTGGTGCAGGTAAAACGCTCATGCACATAAAATGAAATAAATAAATCTAAACTTTTTAAAAAATTATAAATCCAAAGGACTGGGTAAATGTATGGCCCAGTGGTAGAGCACTTGCCTAGAATATATGTATGACTCCTCTAGTTCAATGTCAAGTAGCCATGCCACCCCAAAAGTATAAAACTGTAAATGTTTTATTACAATGAACTTGTTTTAAAACATCATTTGTAATGTTAAATAACACTGTTGGCATGCTAAGTTCTACTAACTCAACCAGTCTCACACCTAAGAGGAATAATCCAGGAAAATGACCCATATCTGAAAGACTTTAGAACATGTTATTTCTCACTGCTCTGTGTCAGTGTTTTATATAGCTATGCAAAGTAATCTTATTAAGAAGGCAAGCAAAACACTAGCAATCATGATCTCCTTGCTTGTCAACCAAAAGGCAAATAAAGTCTTCAGAATGATATTCTTCCTTAAACAATCAGTGCTAAGAATCATTCACCATAAAACAAATTCACCATAAAAATAATAAAAAGTCAACCTTTACTGTAAATCCTAACTGAAATTGTTTTGGGGGCGGGGGAGGGGGAGTATCTAATACTTGCTACTCATAAAATGGAATCGAGTATACTCAAGTTGTGGCTTGTGGACTTTTGAGTGTGAACAGTTCACACATCGAGGACACTGGACAATCTCACAAGCAATGGACAGACACACCTGGTGTTAATCTAAAATGTGCCTTCCATATAAATTATACAAGGTTGCCCCAACCTTTCTGCAAGTAGTCCGAGATAAACAGCAAATGTGTGACTGAGAATGGCACTGGGGCTGGGGGGGTAGGTCAGGACAGAGGCTCACAGAGGTCTGGGTCTAACCCTCACATAGGGGAACAAAGTAAATGGCCTCATGAAGTGTACAATTACACCAATCTCTCATGATTTCTTGCTATTTATCTTCTTCTCCAGTGTATATCATAACCAATCTACAACATTGACACTCACTTATTCTGAAGGCAGACAAAGCACTCTTAGCAAAATCCATGTATCTACGTGGCTAAAAAACGTGCTAATTACTAAAATAATCATGAGAAAGAACATAACTTCAATATTGTCCTAATACACTATCCTTAAGAATGTCTGACCTTGCTCTTGCAAAAAAGAGCTTTGTAACTTAACAGAAGTAGAGAAAATTTACAATTCACATTAAGAACGCTTATTGAGAACACCTAATGATTAGAAAATAAGACAACTTAAACATAATGTTTCCAACCCTACACTCTTTATAAGGTTGGTACATAAAACAGCTTTTATAGAAACCTAAAGTTGGAGCCCTTCCCACACCATTAGCTGATATCAGTAAACAATACCCCACAAATTAAAGTTACTATGCTTTCTAATTATGCAAAAAGATATATCAGCAGCCAGACCATTGACAGGCTACACTTCCAAATATTTAGATTGCTTAAAGTCTTTAAAGTTCTACAAACTCAGTGATTTAGAACTTCAAAAATTCAAGAAATAAAATTTACTAAAATAAATACCACTGACACTCAATGGACATCTTCACTTTAAGGCCTTTGTCACAAATCTGAATCTTTATTGTTCTGAAATAAATGTTAAAAACATAACTTGAAACAAAAACGTCAATATTCAGTCTCAGAAGACGTGTGGCTCAGTGCCCATCACATGTAACAAGAAAACTTCCTTTAAAAAAAAGGAAAAAAGTACTATGAGAAGTCTTTCGTGAGTGAAAATGCACCCTTGTATATCCTCCCTCTTTCTGTATTTTCTTCACAAGATTTGCATTTTCTTCACAACAGTTCTTGCTATGATGTTTGACGGATTTTTTGCCACTCAACAAATTCATCAAGTAGAACCGGCCCTAGACAGAAGAAACAAGTTGTTAAGATTCAGTAGACTCATCCCTCTAACAAGCTCTGAGGTGGCAAGGGCCCACCTAACCTGTCCTTCAGCTACTGCTTTCTGTTTGTTTTCTTTCCCCAGGGTTATTTCCTTCTCTAGGAGTGTTTCATGAACTCCCCTATAAATGAGACAAAACGAACCTTTCCCCACAGCACTGGTGTTAAACACTCAGCAAACATATTTCTGCTACATCAACAAGTATGAGCACTTGTTAAGGGGGAATGGCCACGTGAGACTAACTTTATTCTAAAAATGAGACACAGTAAAAAGAATAGCATAAAGCAAACACCTACTACCTAACTGACTGCTAGTCTAAAAAAGAAGTTTTAGAATGTAGAGGTTCCAAATGTTTACCAACAGAAGCCAAGTGGGCAATTTAAATGAGGTTTCAGTATTTGTGATGTATGGAATTCAGTATCTCAAAATGTATGGAAAGTATGACCACGAAGAGATATGCTTGTCTTGTTTTTCTCAAAACATAAAACCTCTGGGTGTTCTTTTCTCTCTTGCTTTTAGCAGACCATACAAAAACAGCCGGGCAGGCAAAGCAGTAAATGGCAATGTTGGAATACTGCGTGGACTGCCAAACTGGAGAGCAAGTTCAACACAAGCCACTACTTGGTTCCAACCTCTGAAACCTACAAAGGAATACAGGTGCAATGTGTCAGATTTTCTGATAGTTCAAATAAATGTACAAGTTTATTTTTATACCAAACCTCTCAGTTTTAAATGTTGGCTCAACATACACAGATATACATGTCTGCAGGCTCTATGTAGCTCTCGGGCTGTTAGCCTACTGCAGAAAATAAGTATTTCTTCAAACAAGAATTAAATTCTACGTGATCCTGTAGGGAAAAAACACTATATACTCGAGGCAGGCTATCTCTTTGGTAGTACCTTGTCTCTTTTGCATCAAGTGTGCTATGTCCATTTTTGTTATAAAGCAAGGCACCTTTCCACGTACCCCATATGAACACTGAAACACTGCAGGCCTCCAAGTGACAGTAGAGATTTAAGTTTAATTAAGAATTCTACAGAATTAAGTTGGCTTATTAGTTGTGCCTTTGTCCTTTTAATGCATGAGTGAAACTTTCCTTCTACTGAAAAGGCAAGTAAAAAGTAGGATTTTGGCTTCTAGCTTGAGAAATGATCATTTAGCTGTAATGTCTAGTCACTTATTCACTAGCATAGATTTTACAACATTGCTGAACCTAGACTCTGCCTCCCCCATATCCTGACTAAATAATGAGTTACTGTTACACTATTTCAAACTTTCTGTTAATGCCTCAGAATGCACAAATTCGTTTAACATTTTTAGGAATTTTATTTTCATAGGAATGCATGATATACTTACAAGCACCATCTTCATCGTAGTTACTAAGATCGGCATGAACTGTTCTGCTGAATTCTAATACATTGTACCACTGATCTTTGTTCATAACTCGATACTTTGATTGCTGTGGAAAATGATATAAAAATGTGGACTACAGAACCAACATTCTTATTGGGGCTTGAATTTAGTGACTCTCATTTTCCATTTATTTGGTCTTTTCTAACATATTTCTTCCTTTCTTAACTACGTGCTGTTCTAGACTCCTTTAGGTTATCATATATTTTCTTTTCTGAAAGGCAGTAAGACTAACACTGAGATTTACATGTATGTACACCCATGTGGCTCTCCACTAGAACACTCAGTTGGTCTGACAGTGTGGTTTCCACTATACAGAATGTATTTGTGTGCATCAGCTACATTTTGAAGAGAGCATCCACAGCAGTAGTGGGAACACTATGAGCTTGGATCTGAATCACAACGTGAACACTCAATTGAGTGCTCTTGGGAAAGTGACTTCTGTGGCAGAGAGCTTGGTGGGCAGGTGCTCAGGGTTTCTTCCCCAGCAGGACAACTAGGTATGGTGACACACACCTGTGATCCCAGCACTTGGGAAGCAGAGACAGGATGATCATGAGTTCAAGGATGGCCTGGGCTATCTAGCAAGACTCTCTGTCAATGCCTCCATCAAAACACAAACCATTTCCCCCCAAAACAAAACCCAATCACCACTACCACCAAACAACAAAAATAAAAATCCAATACTAAGCTAATCCCATACCTGATTTCCTCAACTACTAAATGGTAAAACTTGCTTGAACATATCTCGTTTTTTTTTTTTTTCAGAGCCCCACAGAAGTTAATATTTTTGTATTTAGCTAAATGTATTTTTGATCGACTAACAGGAGGAAGATATGTATCATTAATCAAAAATGTCAACTTTTACTTGCCATAAAAATTTACCAATGTACAAAACTCATTTCTCCAGGTTTTAAATAAAAGTGCTCTGGAAAAGTTACTGTGACAAGTAAACCACATGACATGATGTTATTTCTGATAGAAAAGGCAGCTCTATTTAAGAAATGGTTAGACATATGTCCCCAAAACTCAAGCGGAAAGGTTTAAAACTAAACAGAATCACACAAAGCGAAGAGTGGAAAAGCAGATGTCTTGAGCTAGCTGGCAGGTGCAGCACAGCTCCTACGGGATGTTTATTCTGTGATGCAGCACACACTGCAGAGTCAGCAGTGCAGTGGATAACTGTTACAGCCATGCTCAGATCTGTGCGTACAAAATATTAACATTAAAACCTCAAGAAATTAGGTTTATAGGAAATGTCTATGATAAAATAGTTTTCCTGGGATTCCTCCTAGGGAGAACGAAAATCCCTTAAAATGCAAAGCACGTGTTCTATCACCAAATTACACTCCAGTTCCCAACTATATTATGTACAGAATATATAAATAATACAAATTTATGTCTAAAACTGACAATATGGTACATATTTTAGCAGATTTAATTACTCATATAAAAATTTTAAAGTACAGAATTTGTTCCTTAAAAATGCATTTTCAAACATTTTAAAATGCCCATACATACCTCCAGGTACTGATAAAATACTGAAAAGAGCGGCCATGTTCTCCCAAGCAGCAGAGCTAACATAGACTTAGCAGTATCAATATCAAGGCTTCTCTGATCTTTATCCTACAATATTAGTGAGAAAATGTAAGTACACTCATAAAATAAAACCACTTAGGATCTGAAGGGGAAGCTGTACCTACCCTTGCAAAATCAAAGGCATATCTGTAGATATTCTTAAATGATGAGATGTCATTCAGCTGTGAGCGCAGAAAATCAAATCTGCTCTGTAACTTTTCTGTGCAGTCACACCTTAAAGACAGAGGTCAGAAGGAAAGCATTCTAAGACCAAGTGCATATAGGAACATTCTTTAGCTCTGGCACTTTCAGTAGGACAAGTTCAACTAAAGACATATTTTAAAATACCAATGCAATAATAAAGCAGAGAAAACTTGACAATCAGAGTACACTGTATTAACTTCATCAAGAAAAATAAACATCTCAATCACAAACATGTCTTGGTGTGAGAGTCAGAATGCCTGCCTATTGGGCTCCAGACCCAATTTTTAATCCAAGTACTGCCTCTTCTCAAGGGCTGAGCAAATGATGCAAACAATTTAACTAATTTCTAAAGATGAAGACAGTAAGCAGAAACATCTCAATCATTGGAATACTCAAAAGTCTTGCTGGTTTTCTAATGCTGTTAAACTCCACTACTGGGTTTTCTGGTCACTTCCCATATCCTTCCTGCACTCTAGGTGTTTTCAAAAGTCACAGCTATGATTCAGGACACTATATTTCTTCTATTGGAAAGGATGCAAAGTAGAACTCAAGACCTAACTCAACTTGCCGTCTACATGAAATCACCGGACTTCCCTTGATTAAAGAAGGTATATCATCTATTGTAACCACTCAAACCAAATTTCAGAATTCATGATGAGACACACACACTTGGCCTTCTAAAATTTAACCGAGATTTTCATTATCTTAAGTCACCAACGAGAGATCTATGTGATATGGGTCATAATTTTATAAAGCTGAAAAGATTTTGGCATATCACTACTGTTAATTAAATCTTTAGTATCTATAAAAAGCCATCTTGTTATCTGTTCAACATACTGATAGGGACTTTTAAAAAATACTCCTTGCTAGCTTTGATAACAATTTTATAGCATTAGAAAATGAATCAAGGATTATTTAAAAACTATTTTGTGAAAATTTTTAAATACTGCAATTAACATGTGTCCAAACTAGATAGAAGATAGACTTATAACTACTTACCATTCAAATTTTGGCCAAACATTCTGTTCCTTTGTAACCTGTTTTTACTATTTAAATTTTTCTGATCCTTCTGTTACTTAACATGAAATCTGATTTAAGAGGACATTATAAGGATGGGAGATGACAGCATGCATTATATACATGTATGACATTGTCAAAGAACAATTTTAAGTAGCAAAAAAATCTAATGCTGGTTAAAATTATGTATATTTTTAACCTATGTTAGCATCTTTTTTTTTTTTCACTTTTAGTTGTTTTCTTGCCCATTATGGCCAGAATTTAAGTCATTTAATATAGCATTTGAGACTGCAGATTTCCTTTTTTGTGCAATTTCCTTCCATGTGACCACAAATTTTGTTAAGAATTTACTGCTTGTATTACTCAATTCTGAGTGCTAACTTTCAAAAGATGTGTTTCAGGAGCGGAAGCAATAAACTTCTCAAAACAGGTTTAAAAGAGAACAAGAAAAGAAGACCTGGAGAAAACCAATACAGACAAAGTCTTTCAATGTGTTTGGACATGAATGGCTACAGGAGGGCAGTAACCCTAAGGGGATGAGAGAAGAGTGGGTCCTGAACTTTCTTAGAGAAAATGCATTACCAATTTCAGCAACATTGAGGAGTGTGTTCCTTTCTCTCTTCTGCTAAGATTAGCTAACCCACATGGATTATACAAAATCTAAGAAGATTCTGAATGAAGGCACACATGTATGTAATCTCAACATTTGAGAAGTTGAGGCAGGAAAATTCTATGTTCAAGGCCAGTCTAGGTTTATTGTAGCAAGATCTTAAAATTCTGAAATGAAAAGACTTGGAAGAATGACATGTGATAAATGCACTCAGTTTCTTTTTGCCTCAGATATCCTTGAAGCTGCAGATGACAGCAAGTTGAGTGTGGTGGCAAATGCCTATTAATCCCAGCTCTGGGGAGGCAGAGGCAACAACAGAACCACTGGGGCGATGATGGTTCAGTGAATAAAGTGCTTGTCACGTAAGCTGTGGACCAAGTTGCCATGCCAGGCAGATGCTGACTGAGCTGTTTTCAACTGAGTGACCCTGCCTGTAGAGTGAGAGTAACTGAAGATGACACATAGGTCTCTACACTGACAAGCACACACATATATGTGCAACTGCACATGTGTGCCCACACATATATACATACCACACATAGAGAAAGAGACAGGAGAAAAGGAGAAGAAACTACCGGTCCTTAAAAAGGCAGCAATGACTCCTAATGGCATGCTGCTGCACTCATAGATCAGCACCTTATTCAGCCATTACCAGAAAAGCTTCCTCCTGCAGCAGATGGGAACCCACAGCCAGACATTACAACACAGAGGGAGAGACTTCAGAACACATAGCTCTAGATGGGCTGTCGCCATCCGATCCCTCCCCTCAGAGCTCAAGGAACCCCGTAGGAGAGGCAAAAAGAGTACCTATATATATGTAAGAGCCAGAGGAATGGAGGACACCAGGAGAACAAGGCCCTCTAAATCAACCTGAGCAAAGGTCATATGAACTCTCGGAGACTGACGCAGCATGAACAGGGCCTGCACCGTTTGCACCAGGTCCTCAGCTTTCAGTTTAGTACTTTTGTGGGAATCCTGAATTCATGAATGAGTAGGTCTGATTCTTATGCCTTCTCTTGGGGCTGTTTTATTTTTCTGTTGGCTTGTCCAACTTTGATATGATAGCTTTTGTTTTATCTTATTACATTTTATTTTGTTAAAAAATAAAACAATTTTCTTTGTGGGGAAAAAGAAGTGCTGGAGGTATAGCTCAGTGATCCAGAACTGGTCTAGCAATGTCCCGGTTTCAAGAAGACTAAGAAAGAAGTAGCCTATGAAGATAGAAGGCTCTAACTGTGAACACTATTCCAGTCAAGTATCACCAAATATAGCAGTCCAACTCCTGGCAATGGCAGAGGAGACTGAATTAGTGTCTTAATGTGTCCATGTTCATCAGAGCACAGTAAGACCAATTCCTCAAACCCTACAGTGTCACAGATGCTACACAAGCGCATGGACTTGTGCTCACTCTAGAGAATAACAATCAGCCAAACTTCCTCTGCCCAAAGGTGCTGTCGGGGTTCCTTGATGATGAGTTAAGACCTTCAGCAACACTCAGTAGTAATGAGGGTACAACTGCAATAGCATTGTGACTTTGTATGTATGAGACAGTAACAAAGCACTCCTACCAGTTCCTGACAAAGTGTCAGGATGCTGGGCTCTTACTCCTGCTCAGGAGTAAAACAACACATCCCCCTTGAGGGTAGAATGGTAGCTTTAATTTCTCCTTGCACCTGCACAGCAGACTCTCTCCTCCTGGAGTGGTGGTACAGGATGATAATTAAAAAACAAAAGTAATGAGCAAGATCCAGGGTCCATGGCATAATGACCAGATTGTCCAAGTTTCAATAAAAAGATCACTTACCATGATAAGAAGAGAGATTTCAAAAGTAATGTTTACACATATCTCTCATTTTAAAGCAGCTGCCATAAAAATGCTTCAATGGTTATGGCTAACTTACTAAAATAAAACTGCAAAAAAGGGAAGAAATCTACAAAAAGAAACATAAAGTGTAATGAAGAACAAAGTGGAAATGCCTGGACTGTAAAATATGCCCTCATATTTCAATATCATGTGTTCTAAACGGACCAATTAGAAGATATACATAGCCTGGGTTTATAAACAAAATTCAACCAGACATACTGTTTTGAACAAACTTCAAAAACCAATATAATGATGCATAAAGCAAAGATGGAGGGGGGAGTGAAGGGTAGATATTAACAAAGCACAATATATATTATGAAAATACAGTAAAACCTATTATTTTATATGGTAAATTAAGAATGACAAAACAAGAGATTTGAAAATGACCTTTTGCAGAAAATGGCCAAAAGAAAGTAATAGTGCCTGTATCTGTGTCAACTAATGAAACCTCAAAGAAAATGATCAGAACAGAGAGGATAATTGTATAACAGTATGAGGTCAACCCATCAAGACATAGCAATCCTAAGTGATCCAACATGTGCTAAACAAAAAAGCGGTAAAATACACCAAGAAAAAATGATAGGGCTTTACACTGTGTGTTAGCTGCACAGTACCTAGAGCTATATCAACAACAAAATGTCTCAGGCAATCGAGTACCCATTTACTGAGCTTGTCATCAGTCCCTATCTGGGAGTAATCTAATGTGATTTCAGAAGGTCTTAAAATATGTCTTGTTATTAAAATGCATGACAGGTTATTAGCCAGATCTTAGGGGACAAAGAGTATGATATGGGTGCCCTCGAAATAAAGGCCAAACAGACTGCAGATGTATAATCTGCACAGTGACCCCTCTCATCATGTCTGGCTTTGGATTATTTTCTGTAATTTATACATGAGTTACAGTATGCCTTTTCAAAATAAGCCTTTATATTTTATTGAGCACTAACCATTTTCCATGGAAATTAATTTTTTACACTTAGTCTGTTGTACTGCCATAAATGGGGTCTTTTTTTTTTTTTTTGGTGAGTCTGTCTTGGCCATGGCTAGTTGAAAAATCTATTCTGACTACCCATTAGAAATTACTCTCTCAGGAACTGATGTCAAAGAGCACAAAAACACTAAGTGAAACCGTAAGCTCTAGTGGAAGCTACAAATCCATTCAACCTCTGTCATGGGAACACATCTCATTTCACACATTACTAAAATGATGCTTGGAAACTTGATCTCTGAATTAGCTGAAAATATTCATTGAGTACTCCATATTCAGTTACATTTACTCCCTTCTGTGTCATGACTTAAATCAGGATCCTATCTTTTATAGGCTTATAGCTTTAAAATGCTTTCACATTTTAGGATACACCCCAAAATGCAGACTCTTACATAAGACTTGCTACTTAAGATGGCAAAAAGTTAAAATGAAGTAAGATATTGCCTAACAAAGTTTGAAAATTAATTTAATAGCATTAACACAGGTCCTCTGATAGGAGGGGAGTTCTGCTTTCTTGGACAGTATTACAGGAGACTCTAAAAGTATGTTAA